TGGTCACCAAAGGCGACTCCCCTCTCGAGATCACTTGGACCTTCGATAACCAGCCTATCAGATCCGATCGGATGGACGTGATCGTGTCCAACTCCGGGAAACGCGTCAAACAACTGACCATCGAGTCCGTGGCTGCGAGGCATGCGGGGGAGTACACCTGCGTCGCCTCGAACGCGGCTGGATCGACCTCACACTCGGCCAAATTGGACGTCAACGGTACACGTACTCGTCCAAATATTCTTCTCGTCGCGAGATCTCCCTTTCCATCTTCCTCTTTTTATCCTCTCTCTCTCGTCCATTCCTCTCGTTTCCTCCTTTCAGTTTCACTTTCATTTTCCCTTTTTTCGTCTCGCGAAAATTCGAAAGGGAAGGGAAGGGAAGGGAAGGAAAGGAAGAGAGAGGTTTCTCGATCGATCCCTAGGGAATAGGAGTTGCGCGAGCAAGGCCGATGCAAAGGCTCTTCTTCTTCTTCTTCTTTCAGTTCTTTTCTGTTTCCAGTCATTCCGAAATTATTGCCGTTCACGTTCGGCGAGAAACCGCTTAACTCGGGTCAAGTAGTAACTGTACCGTGCGCCGTGGTCGAGGGCGATCAACCCTTGAAGCTTCGCTGGACCTTAAACGGTCATGCGATCTCGCCCCACTCTGGAATCTCGATCGTGGATCTCGGCGGACGGGGCGCCATACTCAGCATAGGATCCGTCCAGGCGACACACGCTGGAACGTACACGTGTATCGCGGAAAACCTTGCCGGAAGGCACGAGCTCTCGGCCGATCTGATTGTAAACGGTGCTTAAAAATCTGCCCATCTATACATATATATATATATATATATATATATATGTATATACCATTTGATATAATAGATCTTGATATAATTCGAATACACACGCCTATCATTACTATCTTTATCTTTTTCTTTTTTTTTTTTTTTCTTCCGAAAAACCTCCCCTTCCCCTTCGAAAATTATCCATTTCCAGTAGCGATGTACTTGCTTTGGGTATATATATATATATATATATATATATACATATATACATATAAAGAATAAGAAAAAGAACAATCCTCTCCTTTTTCTTTTTCGCATTACGTATATGTTTTCCAACGAAAAACACGCGAAAATGATTTCGCGAAATATTCGTTACGCGTGTCCAACCGCCGCTTCCTCCTCCCCTCCTTTCCCTCCTCCCCTCCTCCCCCTCCTCCCGAAGTAAACGAAACGAAGTGAGTCGCATGCACGGCCGTACTGTACAGATCTGTCGATCTCTGTCTCTATCTCTCGGCAGTCGCCCCGCATCTGCAGCCGTTCACATTCGACGAGGCCAACTCCGGCGATCTGATAATCGTCCATTGCGCGGTCGTAAAGGGGGACACGCCGATTTCGCTCAAGTGGTTGTTCGAGGGACGCCATTTAGAAGTAGGCGACGGAGTTGGTATCACCGCGTTGGGGGATAGAGTCTCCGCACTGACGATCCCCGCGGTCAGGGGAGAGCACGCCGGGGAGTATGCTTGCGTCGCCGATAATCCAGCCGGTCGTGCTAGGCACAGCGCCCATCTCAAAGTGAACGGTACACAACACGCCGCACGTGACGTATGATCAATGGCGAATAATAATAATAATAATAATAATAAGAGAAGGCAAAAAAAAAGAATCGGAGCTACGTGCGCTACGATTGATTGATTGATGAACGGAACGATGATATTGGAGAATCGGCATGATGTTGTGATCCAGCCGTGTATTTATTATGATTTATTGTAATTGATTACGCGTAGACACGCTGTTTCTTTTTTCTTTTTCTTTTTTCTTTATTACGTGTTTATTTTATGTGTATATATATCGGGCAGGTTTTCTTTTTTTTTTTTTTTTTT